CTTTCAGTTTGGTCTCCTGCCACGGCTCTTATGTCCTTTGACCATCTATGAGATCCCAATCTCAAAAGTGGAAAAAATGGAAAGGCTGATTAGCTCTTTTGTTAAGAAGTGGTTAGGTCTCCCTAGATGCATGAGCAGCATAGGGCTGTATGGAAAAGGCATCCTAGAGCTTCCGGTGTCCAGCCTGGTAGAGGAGTATAAGTGCTCAAAAGTACGGCTGGAAATGACACTGATGGAATCCCGAGACCCTTGCATAGCCCAAATAGCTCTGGCCCTTAAAACTGGAAGGACATGGACTCCAGCTGCAGCAGTACAACAGGCTAAGTCAGCTCTGAGGCATCGAGACATCGTTGGCCATGTACAGCAAGGGAGAGGAGATTTTGGCCTTGGAGAGAGTAGACCATTTTGGCACAAGACAACCCCATCTCAGCGGAGGTGTGCCAGCAAGAGCAAGCAACGAGATGTACAAAAGCGATCTCCCAAGTAAAGCAAGGGCAGTGGATGAGATGGGAAGGAGTTGAGAGGCGAAAACTCTCTTGGAAGGAACTGTGGGGCATGGAAACATTTCAAATCAACTTCCTTCTACAAGCCACTTATGATGTCCTGCCTTCACCAGTGAACCTTAACCAACTGTTCAGAGAAGATCCTACCCTTTGTCCATCCTCAGCAAACCTGAAACACATCTTGGCTGTTGGCTGTAAGGTAAGCCTGATGCAAGTATTCTAAGCTGGCAGTTGATGCAAAGCAACTTGGCTGGAAAACAAAGGTTTGTCCAGTTGAAGTTGGCTGCAGGGGCTTCGTAGGGAGAGCTGGCATCAAACTGTTTAAGGAACTAAGAATCCGAGGCCAATCCCAATGTCAAGCTGTCAAGGCCCTTTCCAGTGCCGCTGAACAAGGGAGTCGATGTCTATGGATTAAGAGGAGGGAAGCCGTCTGGACCTGGGACACCAGTTGTTGCTGATGAGCCCTATGGAGGGGTTGTGGGCTGATATAATCGAAACACCAAGGAAGGGGGATGCCCATCTGATGACCCCAATGAAGCTGAGACCTCCTTCCCTCCCCTCCACCCCTGGTACCACCACTCAAAATGATCTACACTGTTCCCCACTTATCTAAGGCAAGTGCAATAGTAATACAGGATAGTACCACCTAGTCCTAAAATGCAACAGCAAATTGAATATCGGAACTGACCCCGAACTTTTGAATGGTAGTATATAAAGATTATGTAATTGGTTAGACACTGCTGTGATGATGTTATTGCTAATGGATGAGGAATCAACTATTTTTGCATTGAAAATTGTGTTGATATTAGATATTTTAATGCTGCCACACAGCTTGATTAATTATTACCAGTAATGCACATTTGCAAGTATCAGTAATCTGCGACTCATGGCATGGGTATATAATGATCCCAAGATGTGGGCAGAGAGAGACTTGGGCTATAAAGTAGAGAATATGTTGTGCCTGAGGAAGGCTTCCACTAGCAGTGCATTAGCTCCAGTGCGGTCAGGAGCAATGGCTGATGGTACATTACGCACTCAAGAGACCTGTGCCATGGCTACTTTTGTTGGTAGAGTTGCCAATAACATACACAGGTATTTGAGCAAGGCTTGTGACTGTGTCCAACGTATGTGTCATTTAGCACTATTGTGCAAATTTGGTTGCCTATATTACAGCAACCAATTTTGCTGTCATAATGAGAATGACCTCTGGTGGTGAACTACCTTTGACCCACAGCACTTGAAGAGCTACTTAGACATGTTTAGGAGAAAGTGTCTTTCACAGTTCTCACATTTGAACTAATTCTTTAGACCCAGATTCAATGAGAAAAAAAAAAACATTTTGTTGCCAGGCAACACAAGCTGTTGCAATGGATTTTCAAAGTCACTAAAACAGACCCTGTGCAGGCATTGTGTGTGTGTTTGTGTGTGTGTGTGTGTGTGTGAGAGAGAGAGAGAGAGAGAGAGAGAGAGAGAGAGAGAGAGAGAGAGATAAACTGCAAGGTTTTTAAAGGAAGTTTTAAACACTTACTTTGCTTTACAATACAATGCAACTATAGCAATACACTTTTATTTCACAAATATAGCTACATGTCTCTTACTGCTTATTTCTTTATTGGGACATACAAATGTATTTGTGTGTGTCTATATATATATATACACACACACAATATTTTTAGGGCAGTGGTATTTCATATAAAATCTATTTTTATTATAATACACTGTGATGTCAAAGCTGAATTTTCTGCAGCCATTACTCCAGTCTTCAGTGTCACATGATCCTTCAGAAATCATTCTAATATGCTGATTTGCTGATCAAGAAACATTTATTATTATTATGAATGTTGAAAACAATTGTGACATGGAAACACTGCTACATTCTTTGACGATTAAAAAAGTTTGTACTGTATTTATATGTACATACTGTATAAACGTATTACAACATATAAGTAATTCTACATTTTATGTTAATTAATGACATTTTGAATAATTAATACTTTGAAATGGAGTTCAATATTTTTTCAAAAGAAATACCACCGAACTAATGGAACTGCTATGTCCAAAGTTTTAGCCTTTAGTCCTAAATCAAAGCTCTATGTTTGAAAACATATGAGCGTCACCATAGAGATGTTCTAGGAGAACACTGACATTGTTTTTAAGTGTCATCAAAGATCTGCCACAGTGGCACTATATTGCAGCTGCAATACAAACTTTTGCACTTTTGGCGCAAGCCTCACCCTTTCTCCTCTGTGACAGCAGGAATGTGGTATGATCACAGACGGGATTTTTCCCTGAATCCCATTCTCAAAGCTGCTTGATCAGATGATCCGTTTGGTCCACCACAATGGCAGAAGACTGAACAAAAGATAGAGAGAGAGAAAAAGAGACTTAATGTCTGACAATTAACAAGCATAAGTATGACTATCAACATAGAAAACGTGACAGAAGAAGAATAAATAAAACAACTGACCTGCATAATGAAAGAAATCAACCACTGAAATGGTTTCATATTGTAGCACTGATGGTAAATGCTGTAAGATGCAGACTTATGTTTGCTCCTATGAAGTAAACAAGTACATTCAACATTTGTTCATTTTTCATGTACTCAACATAGATCAGCATTACACTCCAGCTTTTCAGCATAAAAAGGCCTTTCTGTCCACTGATGTATTCAATTAAATTAGTGCTGAGCTCAAATTAGAGAGAATTTTGTTTTGCAAAGTTTGACGTATATGCTCCAGATATCGCTTCAAAGGTGATTTGAGAGAGTTTGGATGAGATATTTCATACTATTCTGTCATCATGTTGGTGATCCGTTCAGTACTGATCATGCTGTTCTCCTATGGTCTTGATTTTTGCCACGTGATGGATACATATCCACCCGATTGCGCTGAGTTCTGAGCAGCTGGTATTAGATTACATTCTCTCACTGTCCTGGGAAATGCAAGGAGTTATATTTAGACATACAGAGGTGGTCATCTAGTTTGCCTGTGCAGAGCATCATCATGGAGATGGATAACAAGGTCACATGACTACCAGTGACCAGACACTATTTCTGCTCTGAGAGATCCGTCTGCAACATATCAGGAGCAGTTTTGTATCTTTCAGGCACAGCTGAAAGAATAGGTTACTGCATTTATGCCAGAATGAATGATGACAAAACCATTGCATTTGTACTTTCATGAACTTTTTGCATCAAATCTCTCCTTGTGACAGGAATCTAAGTAAACCAATCCAATCTTATTGTGGGTTTATAAGAAAATATAAAGTCGCAGTTCAGAATTGTGAAATATAAACTCACAATTGCAAGAAAAAAAGTCAGAAGTCACAATTACCTATTTTTTCAGGTAAGAAAACTGCAGAAACTGCTTTCATCGAGTGATTCCATGGCTTTTTAACATCATAATGTATCGGACTAGCATGCTTGAATCCTTTTTATTCAGTTCAGAGTGGTGCAGTGGCTCAGACTGCACAAGCTCACTGAGGGATTTAACTTAATAAAAATATAAAGGACTACACAACATTTGCCTTGTTCATGTTGGATTAGCCAACAAGAAATACATCTATGATGAAAAAACAAATTTCCTTCTGTACTGTGCCTCAGTGTGATTTTATTAAGCTCTTATCAAGATACCGTTTTTGCTATTTATGGAACTGCTTGTATAACATAGAAAGAGAAGGATTATTCATTAAGGTTTATCTTTCATGTACTGCATGCATCATAACAATCTAATTATGTGGTTCTTTTTTTAATTTCAATGTTGCATATCCTACAGAGGCTGCACATCAGCTTCACAGAGATGGTCCACACAAAGAGGATCCATATTAGATTACAGCAAAGCAAACATATATTTATACACTCATGTCAGACTGAAATTATTATTTGATGAATATGACAGGCTCTGTGAGCATGAGGAGTGTTGCCACTCATGAGGAAGTCAGTGCAGTGCAGCTTGCGCATTTTGATATTAAAATAGTTGAATTATTAAACTTACTAAAAGTAAAACTGAAATAAATATAAAGTTGTATAGAATTATATAAAAACCAAAAATGAATAAAATTAAAAAATATACAAATAAAAGCTAATTCAAAATATTGATACATAATAGTATAATTACTAAAATAACACTGCTAGGAATCTATAGTTGGGATGTAGACAGTGTATGACAGTAGTTTTGGCTGGCGTGTAAGTGTGTGTTGTGGCTTGCATGCATATGCTGTGGCAGGATTAAGGGAAGAGGTTGTTTAAAAGTTTTATGAAGCTGTGCACTGATGCTGGATTTTAGCATTAACAATTTAATCTTCCAGTATGTGAATCTCATTTATTATGGGTGGCTAGAGAAAACAGGCCAAACTGAAAAAGCTTTCTACTTGTGGAATCCATTTCTCGTCATTCCTCTCATCCACTTGTTATTA